CTCTGCGTTTTATTCAAAATGGTAACACTTCGCCACGAGGGCTTAGCAGAGCACTGTCTCTCAAATTATCACGCTCTGCCCTAGGTTTTTATTCTTGTGCAGCGGTACAACTGCCTTACCGCACTAACCTGGGTTCTGTTCTCATTTACAGACTTAGTCGCACATTAAACACATTAGCCTGGTTGCCCTTCCAACATTAACTTCAATCAATTTAGCACCAGAATAACCTTCGTTGAGTTCATTTTATATTAATAGCTTTAGTAAACCGTTCAATGTCTCAAAGCAACAGCGTCTGCGCATGGTCCTGCTTAAACGGGTTGATGGATGAATCTGAATAATTTTTGGCTGATGAGACAGACTGATTATAGAGTTCTCTGAAAATCAATCGTCCATGTGAATTCAAGTAATATTTTGCAACTGCTGTCCATAAGTTCTTTTTTACTTTAGCAGTTTCAATGAACTGTTGGATGTTCGAAGACCGCTTATCGATCAGAAGGAAAGAAACTACTTCATTGTTCGTCTCTTTCTTTCCACCTTCTATCTGCAACTAACAGCTTTGGCCACTGGTTTCGTTAAAACTGATACACACATGTCAGATACAATTCTGTAATGCTTGCGGGATACTAAGCATCGCGCGGGAAGAACAGTGATTTTGGTCGAGCAACACGTATGAGTTGGCGTGTTCTGTCTGTTATGAAGTCTTACGTCCCTAGTTATAACGGTTGCTCAATGGTAATGAAACTAATTAACTGTCTGTATTCCATACGACCAAAGTACGTTACGGTATAAAATCGTATAGTACATTTACTGTATATCAAGTTGCCAATGTTTCTAATCATACTCGACTCGTATTCAGGGAGTAAAATGAGACAAAGCAAACAAATCTATCGATGTGAGAACTGACATGAGTTATAAACACACAGACCATATCGCCTAAGGGAATCACGTTTGTGCTAGAGCTGTCAGCCCTCTTCGGCCAAAATCTTATCAGACACTGACAAGTGCCGCGGTTGTGTTGGAGTACAACGAGTGCCGCAAGCTCAGAACCACCAAATATTTCTTGCGTGATTGTTATCTATCACTTACATGTTCAGGCCGGTTAGCTTTTGCTGTCACAGGAAGATCTCTTAATTTCTTTGACATTTTAAAGTCTTTAATGAGGCCTATCTAGGTCTTAAGCGTTTCCGGTCCACAGTCTTAATTCATGGTGTTATGCACTGTTTGGCAGAGCTTCCAGATATTACCTGCAGATATTGCGATGGGACTTGCTATAAAGCAGTAGCCTACCTGTAGCTATGCCGATATTCAGCTATTAGTTTCTTGGCCAGTCACTAGTCCTCTACCCGCTCGTTACATTTTGCAGCCCTCAAACCTATCATTTACGATGCCTGACTGACATGTCAAAAGCTACAGTTCGAACAACTCATTAGTAATGTCCGCAGCCCTTTTCAGTAAAATTCGGTCTTTCGCATTAGCCAACAGCGAGCATGGTTTGCTCTTTTAACTGAAAGCAATGCAGACATTAACAAAGTTTAGGATCCTCTTCACGGATTACAAGAAAACATAAACCTCTGGAATGCAGAGGACGATTGGCTTCTTTATGAAATTTATCGCTATCTGGCTCTCGACTTTGCTATTATTTGAACCAATAACCTCGTAAGGATATTACTTTCCGATTGAACCGTGTTTTCCTCACACAAACGGTGAGCTTTGACCATAAGATATTTAGCCTATTTTGCTTTCGCTGTAAGGGAGTA